TGCATGTGGGCGTCCATGACCGGGACTGCATGTGGGCGTCCATGACCGGGACTGCATGTGGGCCCGGCCAGCCCAACTGCCCGGCCCGGTAGGTCAGGCAAAAGGACAAAATGGCAGCTTTGTATTTTGGCCAAACAATGGGGATCTAGCTTTATCAGCGGCATTTTTCTTTAGGAAACGAAGTAGATTATTTTATTCCTGCAAACCCTAATTGTATGTGTCGAGTTCATTTTTGTAAAGGTTGAAATGTAAAGCGTCGAAATCTTGCAAGGTCAAAAGTTGCACAAATTTTTCTTCCTGGTGTTGAAAGAACTAGAATTTTATCCTCAAGTAAGAATTTGTTTTCTAGAAATTGGTTCTGTAAAGTTTTTACTTGGGACCTGACACGATGAAGTTCTTTAGATGATTAAGGAGGATCAGGCGGAGTTGACACTGCAAGATTTAGCTTGAGGTGGTGTATCAACAGCAAGATTTTTCGGTCTCCTGACTCCTGTTAGCACGATTGTTTTCTGGTTTAATTTTGTTGTCACTCTCGGTGGCAGACCTAGCACTAGGGCCACTAGGGCTATGGCCTTAGTCTTAGCCCTTAATTACAGTGGACAAAACACTATTCTTTCTATAGCCAAGCACAAATAGCAATGATCTCTAATATAATGGCCTACTAGTCTTTGATGAATCTTGGGTCCGCTTCTGGTCACTCTTGTGCTTGGTTGTAAAAACTCTTGTAATATGAACTGAACAAAGAGGTCCTGCCACTTCTCCAAAGGAAAAGGGGAACAAAATAGTCTATCCTTGCGACAAAATGTTATATAGGCAACATTTCACTCAAATTTGGGTTCTGTTTCGCCCAGGAGTGAGCTTATATATTTAGCCCAGTAGTGAGGGTTCAGTTAATCTAATTTTCCCGTGTCGTTTTCTAACTAGTTGTAAGTAATATAACAAAAAGTTGAGTTCCATGGCAAAACTCTCGTGAGACTTTTTAGAAGGTGCATATGTTTTTTCACAAATACTTCTCAAATTTTAGGCGTTCTCTATAACTATTTATCAATCGTTCGTGCCACTTTGTTGATAAGTTTTGAAATTTCTATTGTTTCACAGTACTTCTTCGGACAAGAAAAGAAAATCCGACCAGACCAAAGTGGCAAAAAAGGAGATTAATGAAATCTCCTTCCCAAGCAGAATCAACAAAAAAAGTTATATTCTTAGTGAAACACTCATATTCTTCAGGAAGTAGAATTGCCGACTAAAAAGTAGGTAAACAAGACAAAACAGACTTCACCATCAGTGCTTGCAAAAACACATCATGAAGGGTCCATTAGTGTCATTACACCAAACTTTGCTGCCCACAAAAATTGTCAAGCGAAGAAAAGGAAAACCACTCCTATTGTGTGGTAGCGATTGACCATGACGACAACCTTTCTTTTGCCGCTCAAATGACCATGAGTCACTAAACACCAAAAGCGATAGATAGCCAACAATAAACACAAAAAGCATCTCAATGGCTCCTTAAAAGTTGTGCCAAAATCAGGTTTTAGCATGGACTAGAAAAAACTCCATCTAATAGTTTCCAATATAGGGCCTTTTTTGCAGGGCTTTTAAGCGGCTTCAGCTTCTCTAAGTGAAGCCCTACCAAATATCTATGTGATACACGACTTCTGCAACGAAGCAGCAGAGAGCTGAAGCTGTTTTTGACTTCCGCAGGTGAATCCACGAGAATGTGGCTTCTTCGGCTTCACTAGCTTTCGCGGGCTTGTGCATCAAAGCCGCATTTTAGCTTCTCTTGCCGAAGAGGCCCATAAACTTCTAATTTTTACGCATATATCCTAAAAGTCAATGATTGGCGCCTCGCATATCGCCCCCTCACGTGCGCTCCCAAAGTCCCAGTCAGTAATTCGCCGTTGGAATCCCCGCCAGAAAAACTGATCTCACTGTCTCTTGTCTCCCAGTCTTCAACTCCAAGAAGGTAAACTCTAGTTCCCTGCCCTCAAGGTGATTATGGCCAGCTATGTCTTGGTGGAGGTTGATTGGAGGTGCTTTGTCGTGGCGGTCGGTATAGGAGATGTGGCTGTTTGTCAAAGTACAAAGACCGTGAAAATCATGCGCTAGCCGTTAGGTAGACCACATATGGGTTTTCAAGTTTTCAGGAGCAAAGAAAAGAGATTTTTTAAGGAGGGTGCTTTTTCTATTGCAATTAGTTTCTAAAAGCATCTAGAATAACAACTTTTGCGAGTGTCTTTACTAAACACTTGGATATGCTCTAAGCAACAAAAGGTAGAATACTTTAAACAATACAGTGCTCACGATCAACCATTTTGCATTTTTCAAGTTCATGGGGAATTGATTCTGGACAATGGATCAGAGTTTAACACCACGCTCAAGTTCTAAATAATTCGACCCTTTCCTCTTTGGATTCACAATAATGAGACATCTATGTTGCGATATGTAATCTAAATAAAAGTTGTGTGGAAGGCGTAGAATTTTTCTCCTATTCTCTGTTCCTAATAATGGAAAGGATTGGCACTAGTGAGAATCCAACAAAAGGAGGCAGTAGAAACATGACTTCTCAGCTTATTTGGCAGCAGCAGAAGGTTGAGGGCATGTTTGGTTTTACTGTAGCACATCGCCCAATTTCCTTGCCTAGCCATGCCCAGCAAGGCAAGCCTTGCCAGCGCAGGTGAGACAAACCCGCTCGCCCAGCAAAGCAAGGAAATCCTTGCTCGCACGGATAACGATACAGCTGGGTAAAGGATCCAACAGAGTTACTGTTCTAACTTCTTGCAGGACGAGACGCTACAGGCAAGGAAACCAAATATGCCCTGAGTTCAACTACCAAGGGAACAATTGGAAGCCATATATGCGTAAAAATTAATGTTAGGTAAAGTACATTTCTCAATCTCCAAGTTGTACGTCACTTCTATTTTTCATCCTTGAACTATGAAATCAAATAAAAGATACCCTCCAACTACCGAAAGCGGACAAATTTGGTCCTCACACATTGTCATAGGTGGTTTTCTATTTTATAAACATAATAATAGAAATCTGGTTTGGTCTCTAAACTTGATCATTAATTTGTTTTAGATTACAAAATTATCGAACTGGTTCTAGTTTTTTTTCTAAAAATGTTATCTATTTGTTGGTGCTCTATTTGGAGTTATTATTTTTTAAATAAATAATGAGCACAACTACAAGCAATAAAGCAATACAAACAAAAATAAACAAGTACCAAATAACAATGTATAGATCATAATAAACAAATAGTAGATAACATTTTTAGACGAAAATTGGTACTAACTTGATAATTTTCTGATTTAAAATAGATTGATTATGAATTTTTAGAGATCAACCTAATTTTTTATTATTTTTAGAAAACAGAAAACAAAACTAGCCTGAGGATCAAAATTGTTTGGAGGATCAAATTTGTTTGGTTTAGACAGTTGGAAGGTGCCCATTACCCAATTTTCTAGTTCATGATTGAAAATCGAACTAAATGGCAACTTGATATTTGAAAAATATACTTTACCCTTTAATGTTTATTGTTGTCAACCAACTTCAACAGCAGTGTCTCTGAAATGAGGCTTCTTTGTTGACTATCACAACCATAGCTGAACCCATGCACGACCCTCTAGGGAATTAATTACACACTAGGGGCAGTTCATTTACATGGCAGAGTGTGCTAGCTGGTCTGGAATGTTTCAAAAAGGGTTACATCTGGAGAGTGGGTGATGGAACACAAATCAACATTTGGGAGGACAATTGGTTACCAGGCAGAGGCCGCAACCTAGTGACTACTGTTGATGAATTGATCAATCCGATTGATGCAAACTGGGATGTCGATTTGGTGAGATCTTTGTTCCTACCGGCTGACGCCCGAAGTATACTTCAAATTCCCTCTTGTGTGTGTGTGTGTGTGTGTGGGGCAATGGCTTCAGCTCCAATTTTTGATGAATGCTATAATTTGTGGAGGGAATTTGCAGAGATTTCTATTGAGCATTGTGACAGAGAATCCAACCAAGTTGCCCACAAGCTAGCTCGGCAAGCGTTTATGTCAAAAGCTTCATGTACTTGGGTCGATGAACCCCCTAATTGTATTATTCCTCTTATATTAAACGATGTAACAATGTTCTCATATGAATAAAGCTTGCCGGATGGCTTTTCAAAAAAAAATTACACACTAGGGGCACACAACACACACACACACACAAGAAAGAAAGAAATCAAGATGGAGCAAATAATTTTCTAATTTAAAATAAATTAATTATGATTTTTTAGAGATTAACCAGATTTTTTTTATTAATTTTTAGAAAACAGAAAACGAAACTAAATTTGTTTAGTTTAGACAGTTGGAAACTAGCCTAAGGATCAAATTTGTTTGGTTTAGACAGTTAGAAGGTGTCCATTACCCGATTTTATAGTTCATGATTGAAAATCGGGCTGACTTGCAACTTGATGGTTGAAATTATACTTTACCCTTTAATGTTTAATATTGGTGTCAACCAACTTGAACGGCAGTATCTCTATGGTAAGGCTTCTTTCTTGACTAGTACTGAACTCATGCATGACCCTCTAGGGAATTAATTACACACCATCCGGGCATGTATTTACACCACACACACACATGAGAAAGAAAGAAATCAAGATGGAGCAATCTAGAGCGAATCTAATTACAGAGAAACAACCCTCCAGTCCACATATTGATCTGAGAATGAAGATGTTCAGGGCCTCACAGTTCTAATTTTTTTTTCTTTCAATTTTCATCACTACAATAGCACATCATATTCTGTCCTTCTCCTTCTGCGACATACAACGCCGAAGAAGAACAGCAAACACAATCGCAAGGAGGAAACAACTTAACTTTGAACGCGGCATAGCAGTAGCAGTTCCTCAAAACTCATTTTCCATGCAATTTTCCAGGAACCTAGGGGCTCCATTGGAGAATACCTCTGCACATTCTAAGGAATGCAATGATCGGAACATATCGATCGACCTATATATATCTCCCATCACCGGTCAAGAGGCTCCGTTTGATCCTTGATGACCTGCTCCTCGGACACCTCCGCGAGCGACTTGAGGTTGCACTTGAGCAGGGCCTCCACGAAGTAGCAGGTCTCGTCCTTGGTGTTGCCGTCGGGGACGTCCACCACGAAGGACTCGATCACGAGCGTCCCCGGCCGGCCGTCGATGACCTCGGGGTGGACGGTGAGGATGGAGGAGTAGTTCTGCAGGCAAAGGAAGAAGATGACAAGCAGATGAATTAGACTAGTCGTCAGCGCACATGCATGCCGCTGGCGTTCTCCCAACCAACCCAAGGGGCGGATAATAACTAAACTACATATCTATCCTCCCTTGCGTTTGCATTCAGACAAGTCACAAGTGGCATCCATCCAGGCCTTGTTTAGATTAGGGTTAAGAATCAGTATTTGACACTGTAGCACTTTCGTTTGTATTTAACAATTATTGTTCAATCATGGCCTTACTAGGCTCAAAAGATTCGTCTCGTAATTTGCAATCAAACTGTGTAATTAGTTATTTTTTTATCTATATTTAATACTCCATACATGTGTCCAAAGATTTGATGTGATAGAGAGAGAGTGAAAAAACTTGCAATCTAAACAAAGCCCCATTATGCAAGTGCAAAGCATGTGACCATGGCCACTTGTTGCCATGGCTAGCAAGCTGATGAGAGCAATAACGGATGGAGCACGACAAGCGAGTGACAGGTCCTCATGCAATGAATTTGGCATGTAAGGTCAAAGGATGGCAAGTCAGTGCCCTACTTGTTAGTCCAAGGAGTTGAGAACATACAAGCATCACCCAGTGCATAACAACAATCGGTGCTTGTTTTTTTTTTTTTTTGTTAGACGACAAGTCGACAACAGTTAGTTTGTTGGGGCTATCACTTGATGAGGATGGCAGCACATCAAGATGCATCTGGCAGTGTACTCAGGAGTCAGGATGAGGTGGAAAATATCTCGCTCGTCATGTGCAACTAACCACTATGGGTTGAGCGAGGTATGTGCTTTGCAGTAGAGCACTAATCTATTAATAAGTATAGTGAAGTAAGCCCACCATTATTTGTGCATCAGCATATTATTCTTTATTATCGTTGGTGAGTGGAGCAGGGCACAACTGTTGGCCCCGATCTTCGACACGGGTGAGCCAACCACTCACCTTTGTTGCCGACCACACACTATAATTAGAGGTAGAACAAGGGAGGGAGAACAGAACGTACACACACAGCACAAGCACCAGCGTTGGCCGGAGCTCTGCAGAGGAGATGGCAAAACTGAACTTACTGAGTTGCAGTGGGAAGCTATATATACAACTCTACTATTTAATCTTAGTGCACAGACATGTCAGGTTGCCATGCTGCTTCAGTGGCTAGATGTGACAGCAGAGCTGACTTTGACGCCTGCACCTGCTATAGCTACAGTGTAGCAGGAGAGCCTTTCGGCACTGTCCTTGCCGTGGCTATAGTGCTGTAGCAGGGGAGCCCTTTCAGTGCATGCCCCTGCTGCACGTACAGAGGAGGACAACAGATTACTTAACAACAACAATAGATGCCAAGCACATACACCTGTCAATTGTTTCAAGCACACTCCGGTTGCAAGTACAGGTTCACTGTACTCGATCGTTTACTCGAGGCAAAGTTACTAAAGGAAAATACTGGGAATCAACCTGTCATGTGCGCACGGTTTGACCATTCAAAATGAAATAATAAACATTAGAAAGGGATTAATCCTATCATGTATTTCATTGCGTATATGTTACGACGTGCAGCAAAGACTAAGACCAGTTTTAGTTGAGTTTTACTGAATGCAAAATAAAATACACAGCAGTCGTTAGGCAAATAAATTTGTGATAGGCTGATAGCGATGAAGGTAGGTGACAACTTATCGACATAAGTATATCTAATCAATGAACAATCCTGATGATAGTACATATGACCACTAAACTGCTAGTTTTCTTAAGCATATATGCATATCAGTCACAGAATAAGTTGCACACAAGAAATCATTATCAGTTTTGATGCAAGATACCAATTCAAGAAGTCTGCATGTTGGAATTGGAACCACAACCAAGCTAGCCTTAACAGAAGGAACTGCATGTAAGATGGACAGTATATAGATACATCAAGAACAAAGCATACCTGCAGCCTGTGATCACCTCCAACAAATCTGACGCTGAGTATGTGCTCGTTGTCATCCAACAGCTCCAGCCTCTCTGTGCTTCTTGTGGCTGGCAGCCCAGACTTGACATTGACCTCCCTGACACTACCAATCTCAATGTTCCCCTTCATTTCACACCGGCTCACAAAGGGCTTGAAAAGCTGTGGTTGATCAAACCGCCTCACTAGAGACCAGACCTGAGAGATAATTACTTGATCAGGTACTTAATGTAATGATTAAGCAGGTGACCAAGATCAATCCACACTCAGGTACTTAATCTAATGATACATGTAACAATCGAAGAAATAAAGCTTCCAACAAACAGGTCTCGATTGCTATTAAACAGTACTCCCTCCGTCCAAAAAAGAATACAATTCTAGCATAGTATCATGGTTTTGTATCTTAAGTTCGATTAATTATAGATAAAAAGTATCAATATTTATGATATTAAAAAAATATCATTAGATTAATTACGAAATATATTTTTATAATAAATTATTTTGGAGCCGTAAATATGAATAGTATTTATTAGAAATTTAGTTAAACATGAACTACTTTTGTTAATATGTAACACGTTGTTGATTTTTTTCTGGACGGAGGGAGCATTAAGTGTGCCACATAAAGACCCTAACTGGCTAACTGTACACTATCAGGCTGTCCTATCAATGTACAGATGAACGATGGACACAAATTATGTTCTATTTGTTTAGCTAATAAGACATGACTGAAAATACTGTTGACTAATTTATTATGAAAAAAAAATACTATTTATTGACTAAAAAAATATGACTTATAAGCCAAGCGAACGTGCGTATTAAGGGAAACGGCAGGAACGGTGTACAAGTCAACTAAACACGAATGAAGAATATGACAGCTCTTCTACTCAGAGGTACCGTACACAATTATAAAATGAGGCCTAGAGCCCTTGAGGTTGCTATGGACTGTGTATACACATATTCACATTTGGAAATGAGGCAGCATCCTTTTGGAATATGCTGATAACTTGGGCTGGAAAGTCGGCCAAAAATGATGATTTCCTTTGAAATAATGAACTCAGTGGCAGTGCATCGCATAATTCTGCAAAAGCTGATATATTTTTTTTTTGCAAGATTACTAGTTTGCATCTAATCTTCTGGCAAGTGCTGTGCTGAACCCACATCCAAAGGAGTGGAGTCCAAGTGAAGCATATCTCCCTCCACCACCGCAATCTCTACCAGAGCGTCGTTTAGTTTCTTCACCTAAAGTTTATATCCTGTCACATCGAATATTTAGACATATGCATAGAGTATTAAATATAGATTAAAAAAATAACTAATTGTGTAGATTACGACTACTCTACGAGATGAATTTTTTAAGCATAATTAGTTCATGATTTGACAATGCGATGCTACAGTAAACATATGCTAATGATATATTAATTAGGCTTAATAAATTCATCTTGCGGATTCCTGAAGACTTCTCTAATTTATTTTATTATTACTATCTGAATACTCCTATTTAATATCCCTTGTGATATCCGATATGATACTTCTAAACTTTAATCTCTGGATTTAAACACAATAGATTACTTGCAAAATAAAGCTACAAAACTTCAAAGCCTAACGCGGGGATACACAGGCCAGCCAATGCATGAACACATAGGCCTTGTTTAGTTGGCCAAATTTTAGAAATTAGGTTACTGTAGCACTTTCGTTTTTATTTGGCAATTAGTGTTCAATCATAGATTAATTAGGCTCAAAACGTCCGTCTTGCAATTTCCAACCAAACTGTGCAATTAGTTTTTTTTTCGTCTATATTTAATGCTTCATACACGTATCGCAAGATTTGATGTGATAACTACTGTAGTATTTTTTGAGAAAAAATTTTAGAACTAAACACGACCCCTAGAGAAACCCAAAATAATCTGGCGAAAAGCAGATTCAGCGGGGGTCTCGAGGTGGGGGAAGCATCTTCCCACGTGAGACGAGGTACAGAAAGGCGAATTAAAAATCCTCGAGGCTCATTTGCCTTTGCCACCAATCGTGCATCTCATGTCCATCTTTCTTGTAAGAGAAAGCCTTTGTTGGACTGGTGCAAAACTTGGACGAACGAACAATACAGGAAAAATTCACAGACTTCTTGGCAGGAAACGGAAATTAAGCTTTCAGCGAAAGTGACGTGGTTCCTCCGAGCAATGGATCCGCCCGACCAATCGCATGAAAAAAAAAAGGAGGGCGATGAGAGAAACTAGCAGGAAGGAGCAGTGCCGGTTCAAGACGGTCTCTCTCCAAATCGGGCATCCATGTTCCCGACTGAAGAAACGGGCCAAACGTGTGGGTGACTCAGAACAAGTCGGCATCTTTCCTAATCAAGGAGCGGCGCATCAGCACTCCAAAACCGGGCGGGGCCAAACAAAAAGGAGAAATCAAGAAATCGATCGAAACGATGTCTCTGCGGCGGATCGACTGGGCAACACAACACCCTGCTCGCCATGGAACATGGAAACGTACAGCACGGCACGGAGAAAAAGCATAGCAGCAGCAATAGCCGAGATTGATATTTGATTCAGCGGCATGGAAGAAAGAGGTTGAGAGGCAGGGGCGCTCACAAGGTGGACGGGCGCCTTGATGTGCTTGGCGACGGCGGAGGAGCACTGGTGGTCGCGGGGCTCGTGCCGGTGGAACCGGCGCACGTAGTCCGTCTCCATGGCGCGCAGGTCGCACCGCTCGTCCACCAGGCGCCACCGCCGCGGCGCCGGCGTCTGCTGCCCTCCTCCTCCTCCTCCTCCCACGCCTCCGTCCATCTCCACCATCACCGCCGCAAGCCAGACAGCCACCACGCTCGCACAGCCCGGTAATGGGGCTTGTGCCGCACCGAGCAAAAGCAGACGACGAGCTTAGGTGCGGAGGAGGTGGGGTTTTGCCTTTGCTTTGCTTGGTTTGCTTATGCCGCGACGAGCACGAGAGGGAGAGAGGCTGAGAGGGGAGGGACGACGACGACGACCCCTGGTCCCTGGATGGCACTGCGGCCGCAGCCTCAGGTGTGGTTGTTATGCTATTGGGCGCTCAAGCAAGGGCCTACAAGAATTAGGAATGCCAGATATGCCCTCCACCACTTTTGCTTCAGTTCAAGGTTGCTTGTGAAAATGATGGGTGGCCCCATGACATGAGGGACGGCATTATCTCGTTGCCTTTTCTTTTTTTGTTTGGAGGAGATAGGTGCAGATATGTTTCTTTTTTCCCAAAACTAGGTCCCATGTCGCATAATGGTGTTCTTAAGCTATTGGAGAGCAACGTTAGAAGATGGCTAATAATTTAGCGGGTTGCTAGTTATTTGTTACTGCCATATCACCTACATAACCAATTTAGCAATTCACACGTATAATAGTTAGATAGTGTTGTATAGGACCTGTTTAGCCTATGTTTAATATTGCCGAGCCATAGCAAGAGCGGCGCCAAGACTGCCATGGATGTTTTCCTCGCCACACTTTTAGCAAGGTGTGGCATAGAAAATGAACTAGGGCCATGTGCTCACGCCACGTCACACCACAAGTGCCATGCACCCAACCAAACGGCCGCCGAAACTATGGCTTTAAATATGCGGTGCGGTGCAGTGAGGTGTGGCCGCCATCCAAACGTGCCTTATACTACACCATTAGTTAATATATGGTCCATCTCATTTTCTTGGAGTGTCTTAGTTCATTTTAAAGTTTGCAGCTCGTTTATTTTCTCTCTCCTTCATCTCGGTATAAATCTAAAGTGGCAACTTATGCATTCTACTTATAGTATCCTGTTGTACTTGTTCTTATGGCATATATCAAGACAATAAATATGGGTTCTATAAGATACCATGTATTGGCCAACCTAGGAATTGGTTAAAAGAGACTGTGGCCAAAATTTAGTGGTGAAATATAGCTCAAAGTTAAAGGGAGATTTCTAGGGATGAAACAGGACTTCAAATACTAAATGGATAAATACTCAAAGTCGGATTTCCGATACGTATATGGTATGGGTGTGAACACCCAACGTGTACAACATTATTCTTATCCTGCTTTGAATAGTGATGTGTAATATCTATCGTCTATCGACTTGGGGCGTGTTTGGGGCCGCGTTTTCTGCGGTGGCGGCCAAAACAAGCAAAGATCGAATCACGCCAAACACCCTGCGTCACGAGCGATCTTTTCGCTACACATGGCATCCACACCGCGAAATGAACTGGAGCCAGTTTCCCGTGCCATGGTACGCATACCGCACCGTGCAGTATGCAGACGCCGTCCCAAACACGCCCTTGGTTTTATCCTTAGAAATTTTCATTTTCCATAGCGGGAGGTGGAGTGGGGTTCATTCTTTTGTTTTACAGGAACACAAGGGGAATACAATGCCAAAGTCTTGGTCCTTCTTATTTTGTATAGTTTGTATTGCAAGTCTAAATCTGTAATTTTGGTACTAAATAGAGCACAAATATTCAACTTTCAACCCAATAGAATATAAAGTAGAAACTAGAATGGGGCAAAATTAGGGAGAAGAAAAGGCCTCACGTTTCTGAGAATTGAGAAGATGAGTAGTTTAGGGGAGGAGGGGAATGCCCCCTTGCGTGGTTGTGCACTTGCGCCTATGTGCTGGTGCATCATGCATCAACTATAGAGGTGTCGGTGGATTTTGTGTTCGACTAGTAATTTGTGTATCACATGTAGCAGATCAGAGGGGAAACAAACCGGAGACACATATTTATACTATAGCTTATTAGGTGCAGGGTACCCTATGACTAGTGTAGATGACGCTATTTATTTCTTGTGCATCATGTGCTAGGGATTGATTGCAAGTAGAGGATCGAAACTATGTGTCCATGGGTTGAGTATCTATTAGAGATTCCTGATTAGTGGCTCCCTACCCCCACTTTATATAGTCTGGGGATATGGTTACACAGATAGAGTCTTGATCGGTTTACAAATTTCCTAGTCGGTTACAAAAAGATGGGATCGGCTTCTATGTATATCTTGCTTATGTCATGTCTGCCAAGTAGATGAGATACACCTTTCCGATTGAGCCTCTCAAGTAGTCAAATATATATATCGAACCACCTCCACCTGGTTGGGCGATATCCTTTGAGGTGAAGGTACTCAGGTACCACATAGTCAACAATAATAGCCCCAGAGCCTTTGTGCGATTTAGAGAATCGGACAAAACGTTTGAAAGGTCCTAAATGGCTAGAGGGGGGTGAATAGCCTAATTAAAAATTCTACAACCCCTAGAGCAAAAGGTTAGACAATAAGATGGCGTAAGCAATTTTTCTCTAGCTTTACTAAATAGGCAAGCCACCTACCAAATATGCTAGTTGTTATAATCTCTATGTTACACAAGGTAACTAGCTATGTTGCAACTACTTGTACCACTAGTGACCCAGCAAAAGATCTAAATACAACTAATTAAACTAAGCTACTCAACTAGCAAGGCTACTAACAAACTCTACACAAGATATAAACAAGTAATGTAAAGAGCAAGTGTAGATGTGTGCAAACCAAACTAGGCAAGCGTTAATCAAATAAATACCAAGAATACCAATTGACACAATGATTTATCCTAAGGTTCACTTGCTTAACGACAAGCTAGTCCCCATTGTGATGGCTGGTTCACTTGGTGGTTCATGCTCTAATAGGCACCATGCCTAGCCCAACACTTGGGCGCCGTAAGAACCAACACAAATGAGGACACTCAACATCATGAGCAATCCACTAGAGTACCTTTTGTGATCTCCCACAGGGACAAGGTCAAGAACCCCTCACAATCACAACGATCGGAGCCGGCAACAATCACCAATGGCCGCTCAACTATCCCACACACACTCCGAGCCAGCTAGGTGACAACAATCACCAAGAGTAACAAGAATTCCACCAGACCAATGCGCTCTTCTAGTGCCACAAGATGCAAAAACACTAAGGAATGCACCAGAGACTCTCCAATCTCACTTAAAATGATGAAATCAAGTGTCAAAGTGAGTGGAGTGAGTTTTCAGCTCTCAAAAGGTTTGCACAAATGTATGGGGTGTCAAGAGAGTGCCCAAGGCTGGCCACACCATCTATTTATAGCCCACACTCCAAATTGAATTGTTGGACCCTTGGAGCCTGTTTCTACGTGGTCACTAGATAGGGCGGTGTCACACCAGACAACCTGTCTAGTGACCCTAATGGTTGAATTCCAACGGCGCCAGTGGCACGAGACAGATGTCCTATGACACCAGACAACTATGGTGGTGACCCTGCTGGCGCAATTTCATGTTTTCCTCCCTCTCTGAAAAAATATGGCGGTGCACCGGACAACCTGTCCGATGACCCCATTTCACTAAGTCCCGATTTCACCAGCCTCTGGAAAAATAAGGCGTTGCCCGCGGCGATGCACCAGACATGGCGTTTAGTGCCCTATCCGGTGTACACCAGACATGTCGGTGCCGCCCTCTTTACTTAGTCACGCTCGACTGCTCTTTGGTTGCCTGTCCAGCACACCGGACAACTGTCCCAAGCTACCCATGTGGCCACACCGACAACCCAAACACTCCTTTGTAAGCGTTGCTAACTCTCAAACAAGTTATGAGCCAAGTTAGCATTTCCAAAACATTTATCATAAAATATTTTTGCTTGCTCACCGATTGTGCACTAGGCCTATATGCAATGCATAGTTTTCCAACACCTAGTGACACTAGATGACCGAATTGTCTAACAGAGCTCCCCTCTTAATAGTACGACCATCTATCCTAAACCCGGTCACACTCTCTATAGTGTCTTGACCGGCAAAACAAAATCCCTATTTATACCTTTGCCTTGATCTCCATAGGGTTTTGTTTTTCTCTTTCTTATTTTCCAAGTTGGAACACTTGATTCACCATCTTTTGGCCACTTCCATCACTTGAGTGCCATCTAGCTCCACATCTTGGACTTGGACCACCCTAACTCATCTATACACTTAGACAAAGGGTTAGTCCAATAGGTTTCATCAATTAGCCAAACCAAACTAGGGCTTTCAATGTTAGTCATAATAGAAGTCTGAGTGTGAGTACTTTCTACGTTCGAGTTCTTTGATCATCTTGGATGGTTCATGTCACTAAGCCCAAGTGCTTTTTTCATAGTCATTGTTCATAGGGTTCGCATGAGTGTACTCGGTGGGTCTAGCCCTTGAGACTCCGAGCGATTCGAAGAATCAGTCTAAGGGTAAACTTGAAGATTTTTTTTATCTCGAGCACGTGATGAGCACACCTAGTTGGTATGGTGTGACAATTCAGGTGAGGTCTAGGCCTAGCGACGGCATGTCCGAGTAGTGGTCAGATACATTGCTACAGGTGGCATGACCAACTCGGGTGAGCCTAGTAGTGTCAAGCCTCAATAGTCATGGTCGTAGATGTCACTTGCAGGTGTGCCCGAGTTGTTCTAGTTAGAGAAGTTGTCGGTGGTGGCATTCCCTAGCAACTGTGGTCGAAGACATTGCCACCGGTGGCGTGACCGACTCATGGGAGCCTGACGGTTTTGTGCCCTAGCAGTCATGGTCAGAGACGTTGCCACCAGCGGCATGACCAACTTTGGGGAGCCCAACGGCGATGCGCCCAAGTAATTGTGGTCAAAGTCATTGCCACTAGAGTCCACCATTAATACATGGTCCACCTTCTCTTGTCGTCCGAGTCTTAGTTGGTTGTAAGTTTGCGACTGGTTTATCTTCTCTCTCCTCCATCTCAGCACATATACTAGTATAGAAAGGACCTATAGTCCCGGTTGGAAACCCCTTTAGTCCTAGTTTCCCAACCAAGACTGTGTATCTGGGACTAGAG